TTGGCAATGAACAGCAACTGCTGAAAACTCGAAGAAAAAAACAGCTAAAACACCAGAGTAACTAAGATAAGCTGGCATGATCTTCAGATGGGCTTGTTTTGCCTTCAAGCTTCAAATTCCCTTAGAAAAAAAAAAAAAAGCTGCTCCTGCATGGTCCAGCCCAGGGTATTTGTGTTTCCAGCCATGGGGCCTGAGCTGACAGAGTAGGACTTTTTGGAATCCCCAGTTCTGCCCTCCTCCTGCCCTCCTGATGGACCCAAAGCCCTGCATTACTCTTCTATGATGAAGTTGTTTTGACCCCTCCTTTCCAATGACCAAGGGTGGTATCTACTGCTTGTCAGGCATCCTACAAGGAAAGGGGGATCTTCCTTCCTGCATTTGTGCTGATGACAATATTCTTCCTAATTGCTCTTATTTTAGAATTTCTTCTAACTTTTTCAGTTATGATTGTATATGATTATTAGACTCATTTGTCTCTATATAATCTCACTGCAGCAAATTTTTCTGTTTAATTATATGTTGTTTCAAAAATTTCTTTCTGTAAAATCCAAGGCAGGATGTGTATGATCAATACTGTCGTTTTTATTTAATATGCAGAATGGATGATTTAGTTTCCTGAGGGTCCTGTTTGGTTTATGCAAGTGTGTTTCTCTCCCACATAAAACACAAAGCTAAATCAGAAGTGGTTAAGTTGCAATGTTGGAAATTCAAAGCTTAGTCATATAAGGCTGTATTATAACTCATACACTGAAGGAGGCCACACTGAGATTCCAGGGACAGTCTTCGGTCAAACATTTCCTGGCCCTTGAATGCTTGATTTGGTAAACACAAATTTCTTTTAATGTTTTTAATTTTGACAGGCTTTTTTTTTTTTTTAAAGAGAACTAAATATCCCAAGTCCCATCCTGAGGCATCTGCCTCTTCTTCCCTTTTTCACACTTTGCTCTGTCCTCCTTGCCCAGCAGGTCCCAGCTCTTTCCCAGTTCCTCGTCAAAGCCGTCTCCCCTTCACACGCACAGTGGTTCCCGCTGTGTCTCCTGGCACAGCCAGTCCCTGTCTCCTCTCCTCCCTCAATGCTTTCTTTTGGTCAATGTGCCCTCCCTGCTCCTCCACACGCTCCCGCATTGGAAGTAGCTGGCAAAGAGACGGGTAGTTGCCGCCTTCTCTCCCCTCAGAATTCTCCTCCGTTTCTTGACTCCCAGTCTCCAGTCAGATATTTCTCTGTTCACCATTAACCTCCAGCCACATCCCCATTTCCTCAGTCTGATTCTGGTCCTGTGGTCTGGCACAGCTTTTGCCGCTTGTTCCTTTCCTGCTGCCAGGAGCGCACCAACAAGCTCACTGGGACCACGAGCAAGCAGCTTCCTTGACATCTGCTGGCCTTGGCCCGCAGCCACCCACAGGCAGTGAAGTGGGTCCTGTTGCTCTGTGATCAGGTCTCTTGTGAAACCCTGTCACAGGCAACTGCGGAGGGTTTAAACATCTCTGTGAGAATGGGATCTGGCTGCTGAAAGCTCCAGCACTTCTGTACTGCGTGCAGACTGCTTTCTTCCATCTAAGAGTCAACATTTTTACTTGATTTGGTACGATTTTCACGGGGATGAAAAACAGCTCTCTTCCCAGGAAGATGACTCCTGGCAGGCTAGAAGCTTATGTGGCTATAGATCTCTGAAAATGCTTCTGTCTTTTTTTTTTTTAGTGATCAATGTCTTTTCTTCTAGCTTCAGTTTTAGAAATGGATCAGCTGGTTTTGGATTGGGACTTTTTGGGTTTTGGGGTTTTCTTTTGTTGTTAAAGGCAGAATCTGATACAAGAAGTATCTACCCTTACACAAAGTTTGTAAAATTGAAATAGCTTGTCAAAATGTTTTGATACTGCAAATGCAAGTCCAGGCTGTATTATTGCTTGAGACAGGTTTCACTGAATCCTAAATGTCACTTTATTGCACTACTGCTAGCAGGGCCATATTGTAAACTAAGACTAAGCTGGGCATTAAGCATGGCCTGAACAGATAACAAAAAGATAGTCCTTGCCCTAGAGAAATTATGGTTAAAATATAAAATATACTAATTCAATGTAGATGGATGAGGATAACAAGTTAAATTATACTTGCAAGCTCTTAGGGTGCTGGGATCTTGCCTATAAAAGATTGGTATTGCAGCAAAGTTTTTTAATGATTAGCGCTTGACAGTGTTTATTGGGAGTGTGAGAAGTAACATAAGAGAAGGTAAAAAGGGTGCTTATTCGGAAGAACAACCCATGGGCAGTGGAGTCTGGCAGTATTGGTTGACTGGCCATCAGAGCTGACATTTCAGTATTGATTGAAACGTAATAGGTGAAGAGCCCTGAAAGTGCAAACAAGGAAACAAGAGAATGCCAGTGGAGGGATGCACGTCATTAAAAATCCCCCCCATGCTGGGGAAGAACTGACTATGCTTATATCGTCCCCAACAACGGCTGTCTAAAGTGGTCTCAGAGGCTTCCATTGCTGCGATGCTGGATTCTCTCCAAGGCAGCCTATCACTAGCTTTACCAGGAGAAGGTTTTTATTAATGCTTATCCTGGGCTTCCCTTGCTACAATTTAAGTTCATTACCTGCTGTCACATGCACCTTCAAGGCAGAAACAGCATGGCACTCCTGGGTCGTGTTCAACTTTTAATCTATGGATCCTTTTCTGCTGAACTGCTGTTAGACTGTCACTCTGCACCCTGTATCTGTGCAGTGGATTATTTCTGATTAAATATTGAATTTTGCATTTGCTGTGGAGTAAATTGCATTTACTCTTCATATTTTTCTATATTAATACAGCTCATACAATCAGTAATGAGAGAAGCTGATCAATTTTTACTTCACGGATAAAAAATACTTTCATTTACTTACATTCGTATTGGAGAGTAAATCCATTGATTTGTAAGACCCCGTTAAGTGGTTTAAAACAGTATTTTTACTTTTCCTGACAGTTGTGCATGTGAAAAAAAGAAGCAGCACTTTCATGAAAGTCGTTGTCACTTACCCATTGAAGTAAACAGGAGGCTTTCCATTGATTTCAGATTTCAGACTGATTTTCAATCTATTAGCTCATACCCTAAATATGCCACAGTGCTCAAGAAGTGTTTTTCCTTTTGTTTGTGTATGTTGCATAGCATGGACAAGCGTTAGGACAAGATATTTTTCCCTTTTAAGGTCCCCATGCATAGTGGGAAAATGGCACTTCTGTTTATACACTTTTTTTCATGATTTCAGCTTTTTTTTTTTTTTTTCAGAAAATATCTCTGCTTGGAAGTTTTCTGAATTAAGGATTCAGCTGGGGATATATTAAATAAATGCAGTGTGCAACAGTTTACAATAGACTGGAATTAAGTTTTTGATCTCAGCGGACTTCACATGCTTTTGTGACTGCCAACCCCAACATTTATTTTAAAAAAGCCTGTCACAGAAGGAGTGAAACTAATAAAGCTATGAGTGATTCTTCCTCCCTGATCCTTTAATCCACCCTTAATTCTTTCCAGGAAGATAGACTTTTAACTCTTCAAAAGGCTTCCACTGTTCAGATTCAAAAAGTTTGGGGGAATCATTAAAAATGAACACTACTCTTATTGCAATGAAGTTGAACGGCCAGATTTCTAAAATTAAGTAAGAGATTAACTCCATATTCAAAATGGTGACACTAAAAAGAACTGCAGAAAATGCAGCACTGTTACAGTGAGTACAAGACTGAACAGGCTTTATACTAACTAATTAAATAAACTGTTATACAAATGATGTGCTTGCATGTCCCTTTCCGCACTCAATATCTTTCTGGCTGAACAGGCTGCACTATAAGTACATCTCCTGTCTTATTCTTCCATGTCTGTACATATACATACTTTTATAGTTATGGGAACAGATATCTCAGTTGTCTTAAGTCTATTCTGCAATCGTGGCTGTGATGGAAAAGAAGTTTCCTTCTTCTTATTGCCTGTCTGGTGTATTATTGTTATGTCATTATTATTATTATTATTATTATTAATATTACTACTACTACTATCAGAGTTTATATTCTGGTAGCAACAAGGATTTTTAATCATAGAACTATCTATTTGCGCTTCCCCAAACCAACAGGGAAAGACACAC